GCAATATGCGGGTTGTAATGGATTTACGTGCGCAAAACGCGCCAGACATGCTGGCTAGCTTGCTGGCTATGTGTGTATGTGAATGAAAAGCAAACTATAGATCTTTGTGTATGTTCAACATGCGCTTAAGTGCCCCTCGCTTTGCAATTTGCACACAAAAATTCAAAATATTTTTCTTAATCGCACATCAAAATAATTATATGGTAAAATAAAAATAAATTAAGTTTAAAACAAAAAATTTAATACTAGCTATACAGCGACGCTGCACCGGCACAAATCGCTTTACGATGCAAATCAAAAAAAATTTCCAATCGCCAATCTTTTCTTCATTTAACTCGCCGACGATTTTCAAAACAAAATTAAGAAGAAGAAAAGAGCTACAAATTTTGCATGCAGTTGCACCTTTAAAATCGATTAACTTTGTATAACTATCCGTTAGCTTTTATCCACATACATATATTTATATGGGGATGTGGGTTTATGTATTTCTGCTACTTATGTAAGTATGTGTGTGCGTGTGTTTGTACTTCAACATACCCTACAAGACAGCTGAGTATCATATGAGTACTCATATTATCATTACTCCTAATCACAAAAGTGCTTATCAAAGTCCTCATTTTCGTTCAGGCCATGGGAAAAAATTGAGTACTTTCCCCTCAATGTTGTCATCAGAAAGTCCTCAGTACTAATAGTCAAACTACTCATTTATGCCGTACTACAAAAACAAAAGTGTAAATGTGTGAGAGTTTTTGCCTAAAGTACTCAGCAATGTCTTGTAGGGTACATTTGTACTTACATACACATCTTACAGTTTTAACTATTTGGTGCTCATATGTATGTATGTATAATTTTTTTGTAAAAAAAAACATAAAATTACATCAATTGCTTTCGACAACAAACAAATGTCGAACTGAATGGGCTTAGGGAGTCAAAGCGAATTTTATGCGCATGGCAGCAATTTCCGCATGTCATAGCTACACAACAACAACAACAACAACAAAGGTAACAGCACTTTCGTTGCCCCCTCACACCCCCTATTGCAGCGATGTACATTTTTTTTTTGCGATGTTAAAATCTCACATCTGACACTTTGATGCTTACATACATACATACTTTCATGTGTAGTACATGCGTGTGATATCCAATCGCTAGGCAGACGATGACACTTTTCACTTTTACTTGTGTAAATACACTTTACTTCGAAAATATGCACCCTGCAAGGAAAAGTTAAAAAAATAATAATTTTAACAAATTCTAGATAGCTCGAGGAATAATTAACTTACGTTAGCTGAACTGGCTGCAAAACAGATTCTTCACATGCACCCGAAGCTGGCTCTCCGTTTCGCTTAGAGCTTTTATTGAACGTTGTTTCGCTAGTTTCAGTAATTTCCATTTCCACGTGTCAGCTAGCTCATCCAAAACGTAGGAAGCAGATCCAAAGTGTATCAACCGTTATATGTAGAATTTTGCATAGTGTCGCCGGGGAAACTGAAATGTACACTAAGAAAAAAAAAACCTGGTTTATTTCAAACAGTGTCATTTTTGGTTTTTCCATGTTAACGATTAGAAATTTTTGAACGGAAAGAGTATTTTTTTTTTTTTTTTTTTATGAAACTTAAACAGTGCGGTGTTGTCAAGAAATTTTCATTAAGAATCAATTCAGCTCAATAATAAAATCTCAAACAATGGCACTCTGTAACTTGTTCATTTGTTGGCATCATTGTTGTTGAATCCATTAAATAGGCTAGGTGCCATAACTGGTGGGAGTCCGACTTTTCATAACCATCTTAGCCCTAATGACCAAGCATCCAGTTAAGGAGACACTTTTATGGGTGACTAGATCACTGACTGCTCTAAAACACTATATCCAAATTTTTGATGAGAACAGGTAACAGGTATAAAGCATTGAGGGCAAATTGCCTTTCCGAAAATATAGATCTTTTACCTCTTCGAAAAGCTGAGGATGGGATCGATTTGGTTTTAGAACAGGATTTTGTGCATGATGACCTCCTTTCAATTTAAGATTTCAAAGTGTCCGATAAGGTTGCCTTGTTGGAATTTACTTTTCCTATGTAGTGTGGGTGCTTTCGTTGTTGCTTCTTCTTGTATTCCCACCCAAAGGGGTGTAAAATTGAGGAGGGCTTCCTTACTAGCAGTGGGTATTGTTTTCGCTACGAGTTGTTTAGTTTATGTGCCGAAATAAATCTAAGTTGGAACTGGTTATCATAATGCGAGATAGTCAGGCGGTGATCGCTAATCTTTGAATGCCTAGAGAAACTCATTTCCGTTTCAATGTACAATAGCTCCCGTTTATTATGGGTTCCAGTCCCCAACCGTAGCAACTTCCTGGCAACTGCTTAAAATACGAAAAAAGGCGGCAACACTGGCAGCACTCGACAGGACTACGTCAGGAAAACGATTTCAATTATTAACACTTTACCGAAAGAAGAATTGAGAAAGGTCATCGGCATTCTTATAGGACACTCTACACTGTGAGGTCAGCTGCACCAATAAGGTATCTCTGCCGCTTCCGCCACCTTACTAAAGAGATACTTTTTTATATTCTAATTAAATGCGATGTATTTGGTTGCAGTGCGATCACATTCACTTCCTATCCCACTAAAGCTCTTTTGAACTTTTTGTGGGTCTTAGGGTTAATATAAGTGTTGTGAAGTGTGTGTTGGTAGGAACTTAGGTCGCAGTGCCGGCTGGCATCTAGAAGATTAATTTAAATGCTCTCAAAATGTATGTTCAATTATGATAATTTTTTAACGGACTGAATCCAAATCTGCCCGCTTGAACTTCTTACTTTTTAAGCGGAATAAGCTTGAACTCATGCTGATACCGAAATATGTTGGGGTTCAGGTAACCAGAATCAGTAATTGGCCAAAATACAAAATCAAGTTTATCAGTTGTATATACTATATTATAGCACCGACAACTGCAAACGAATTCACACAGTGTTTATGAAAATTCTTATGAGGACAGCAGCAGATTTTTTCTTAAACAGAAAAGAAAGGACCTACGAGAGCTGATGGGGTTAGTTACTTTTAAAGTCCTTCGGTTTAGTTCGGAGATTCCAGTTAATTAAAAGACATTATCGATTTTTTATCGATATTTTTATGGACTTTGTTATCGATATTTTTATGGATTTTATTATCGATATTTTTATCGGTTATGTTATCGATATTTTTATGGATTTTGTTATGAAAATTTTTTCGATTTTGTTATCGAATTTATTAACGATATTTTTACCGGTTATGTTATCGATATTTTTATCGGTTTTGTTATCGATATTTTTATCGATTTTATTATCGATATTTTTATCGATTGAGCGCGCTTTGTGTTCGACTCAAAAACTGTTTTTTTTACCATGTTTGCAGCCAAGCATCGACAGTAAAATTTTCAAATTTTTATTGGAGGTTAAGATTGATTTGCCACCAATTTTTTAAGCTGAAGTCTTTAGTTATTAATTTAACTTTCTTTAAGCAGAAAACGTCGAAAATCCCATCTTTTAAAGTTGGTGAGTTGGTTTTATGCCCTTTTGAATCATCTCTACTTTGACAAGGCCACAAATGTATTCATGTAAAATTATGGTAATTCCGTGTTTCGCCAAACGGTTCGACTCTGCAACATTCTGTCTTAGTAAGGTGCATCCAGAAATATGTCCTATACTTGCAAATCGTTTAAGCTTAGTAGTTTTTCTTGCAGGGTACTTTTTTAAGTTTGTAATATGAATACACACATACATAGTAGGCATGCCATCTGTTAAAAGTTCAACTGCCAAATTACCAAACTACAGACCATAAGTGCAAGCAATATTACTTCAGTGAATAGGATTAACACAATTTTTGCAAAGAGGCACTGTGAAGGTATTTCGTAATTTAAGTTGACGTAAATTATTTTCACTTTCGTTGGCTTCTGCTGCCAATAGAGTGTCGGCGTAGTATGTGGTATACTTATCTGTGTAGATCTTCTTTATTCGTGTTAGTGATTGAACTCCGAGCGTATTTCTGCCATGAAAAACAGATTCTCATAAAAATACAACTGCCGCTCGGAGTCGGCGTTAAACAGAAGTTATCTCCCCTTTTTGTATCAACATAAAGACGTACGCCACAAATCAGAGGAGAAGCTCGGCCAAACATTAAGTTATGTGTAAGCGCCAATCTATTATTATTATTATTATTATTATAAATTCGAGTGAACACTAAATGTATTAAAGGTGCTCACATAATATCATTGTCTTGAGATGTTTAATAGAATGACGCTATACAAAATTGTGTTAGCGCATTTTAACTTCAAATATGTATGATCCGGGCTTACAATATACCAATCAGAAATAAGCAAGTAAACCTTCAAGAACAGCATTCCAGCGCAAATTCCTAAAAACAAAACAAAAATAATCATTTCATTCAGAATTCTGATCTAACAGTACAACAAGCCAAAAAAACTAAACAAACTCACCTACAGCCTGCAAATGGCCAAGACAACTATTGATTGGACGTGCCACTGGCCTCTGTTAGCTGCCTTTTTAGCAGCAGCAGCAGCAGCACCACCACCACCACCGCCGTGCTAGCGCAACCGTGCGCCATGGTCAAAGTGCCATTCTAACCGCCATAACGGGCGACGAAGCTAAATTTATTGCATTGCGCATGCGCGCAATTATTTAAATTGCATTTGTCGAGCAACAAAATGTGCGCGTGAAAAATAGCCTGAACTATAAGCCACTAACAAAATAATTCAACAAGCAACACCCGCTCGGCCAAAGGCTGCAGAACGTATACGAATGTCGCAGCTAAACTGCCTAATTATATTGTAAACGCGACAGGTTATTTTATGGCTATAAAGCGACGGTTATTTAGCGACGAATTCCATTTGCGAAACGATCGTGGCATTTACATTTTAATTATGTTTGACTATTTACAAGTTTGTCTATCTTAAGCTGACATTAATGGTGATTAAACCACTCTAATGCATAATTCTTACCCTCTTTCTTCTAGGATCGTGCGCGCAATGTATCTGAACGGCTCTCCTCGACCACCATGCTGACCGTGAACATTGCCGATTCGGACGATCAAGATCCGTCATTCATTTATCGCGGTTGTGTGCTACTCGATGGCGCCTGCATCAATCCTGAATATTCGGCGTCCGTGCCTGCGGGTTCGCTGCAAGGTGTGCTCACTGTCACGCCCGAACGCATACAGGCCGTCGACTTGGACACGATCAGTTCGCCCATACGTTATTCATTTGCCAGCGGTATGCCCAACAATTATGCAGACTATTTTGAGATCGACGAACAAACGGGCGTGTTGAAGCAGATCAAGGCAGTCGACACATCGACGGCCAAGAAATATGACATTGTTGTGAAAGCTGAAGAGGTATCTATGGCTAAACGCTTTACAACAGCTAAGTTGGTGATCAACGTTAAACCGGTGGATGCTAATCCGCCAGTCATATCTGCCAGTGATATTGAAGGTTATGTCGATGAAAACTCACCAATAGGCACACGCGTGGTTGATGAAAATGGCCGGCCCATCTCATTTAAAACTACAGACGCTGACTTGGGTGAAGATGATCCGAAACCCGACTATATCTATGAGTTGACTACACCATCTTTTAATGTCACCAACGATTCCATTTTGGTTGTCAACGAAGAAGGCTTGGATCGTGATCCACCAGCACCTGGGCGATACAAGTTCCAAGTGGTTGCGCGTGAGCCTCGTACCAATGCGGCCAGTGCTCCGCTCAGCTTAACCGTGCATCTGCGCGACGTCAACGACAACCCACCCAAGTTGGCTATGGTACCGCCCATCACGATCACAGCAGGCGATGGCCAAAGACTTGTAACTAAGGTCACAGCCACTGACAATGACGAAGGCGCTAATGCCATCATCACCTATTCAATCTATCATGTGTCCAACAATGGCCTGCAGAAATTTGCTATCGATGAAAAGACTGGTGAGATTGAGACGAGAGGTCGCTTGCTGGCTGGTGAACAATATAGCATAACTGTACAGGCCACCGATAACGGTGGATTGTCGTCGCAGGCTATTGTGGAAATCTCAGTTACACCCGGACCAAACACCAAGCCACCGAAGTTCGTCAAGCCCATCTATGAAGTGCAAGTAAGCGAAGGCGCCGAGATCAATTCCACCGTGACTGTGGTGCACGCCGAAGACCCCGAGAACGATCCGGTGGTCTACTCGATTATGTCGGGCAACGACCTTCGTCAGTTCGCCGTGGGTCAGGAGAGCGGTGTCATAATGGTTATACGCAAATTAGATCGCGAAAGTTTAACACGCTATCAATTAATTGTAAAGGCCGAAGACAATGGTGGCCTGTCTAGCAGCGCTACAGTCAACATCAAAGTAACCGACATCAATGACAAGAACCCCGAGTTCGACGAATCCACGCTGCCCTACGTTTTCGAAGTGGACGAAGGCATAAAGGACGCTTTTGTTGGCATCGTACATGCAACAGATGCCGATGAGGGTATTAATGCCGAAATTACATATTCTGTACCGAATGATATACCATTCTCCATTGATGGAAAATCCGGCGAAATCCGTACCGCCACGGCATTGGACTACGAACGGCAGAAAGAATACCGTTTCGTCGTGACGGCAAAGGATGGTGCGCCAGATGCGCGCCTTGGCACAGCGAGTGTTACGGTGCAGGTGCGCGATCTGCCAGATGAGGTGCCCAAGTTTAGCGACGCGCGTATCGATGTACACGTGCCCGAAAATGAGGCTAACTATTTAGTTGCGACCGTGAAAGCTTTCGACCCAGACACCGTGCAGCAGATAACGTACGTTTTGCGTAAGGGTGCAACAGATCTCTTTAAAATATCGCCTAAAACTGGCGAAATACGCACCACCAACGGTTTGGACTACGAGCAAAAGAAGCAACACGAACTGGTTGTCGGTACAATTGAAAATGATGGCGATGGGCTAGGTGATACGATACGCATCAGTATCGAAGTAGATGATCGCAATGATGTTCGGCCAGTTTTCGCTGCGGTACCAGAGCCGGTGACGGTAAATGACGATCAACCTATCGGCACGCGCATTGCAACAATGGCGGCCATAGATGGTGATGGTTCGTCGCCGGGCAATGTGGTGCGCTATGAGATGGTGGGACGTGGCAAAGCATTGAAATACTTCCAAGTGGATGCCGACTCGGGCGCAGTTCGGATAAGAGATGAGTTGCGCAAGGAAGAGGACACCGAGTATCAGGTGGACATACGCGCCTACGATATGGGCGAACCCCAACTCAGTTCCGTGGCTACGTTGCCGGTCTTTGTGCGCCATCTACTGACCGATCCCAATGAGGGCAACGTGGTGGAGGGTAAGATGACTGACGGCGCGATAATGAGTCCCGAGAGTGTAGGTTTGGCATTCAGCGACGATAGCTATACAACAGGTGTGCCCGAGACAACCGGCATTAATGCAACCATAAAAGTGATACAAGTTATCAATTCGAAGAAGGCGCGAGACGGCACTGCCAGTTTCAAATGCGAGATCATTAGCGGAAACGAATTGGATTACTTCGACATAACGACCGAAGATCATGGCTGCGGTGTTAGATTGGTTAAGCACTTGGACTATGAAAATGCAACGGCCTACTCTTTGAGCATCCGGCTCGTCTCGCACAAGTATTTTGTGAATCCGCAGAAGAGCGTGGCCGCGGTGAAAGTCATCGTGCAAGATGATAACGACAATGCACCGGAGTTCATTTTCAATCGTGCGTATACACGCAAAGATACTTTCTACGCAGTAGTGGCACCCGACACGGACATCGATACCGCCGTACTGCAAGTGCGCGCCACCGATCGCGATTCAGGCAAGTACGGCATGATACGTTACAAGATTTACGATGAGGAGGACAACACAATCAGTGATGAGCATTTGGTGAGTGTTGGCATTAAATAATTTTTAACGAAATTGAACTAATTTCCTTTGTCACATAGCCCACAACTTATTTTGTCATGACCGAGGATACAGGCATATTGCGCACTACTAAACTCTTCCAAGACGGCGCTACTTTCCCGATGATGTTCTATGTAGAGGCGCGTGACAACGATGGCCAGGAGTTGGGTTCACATCACACGCGCGCACGCATAGTAATCAACCAGATCACCGATCAGAACCGCATGTCCTTGGCCTTTTCTGATGCAGCGCCTAATGAAATACGCAGCCACTACAGCGCACTGGAACAGTTGTTGGAAGAGAAGACCAATGGGCTCATAAGCAGTATCGAACGTTTCAGCAATCGCAAGCTGCTGGCGGATAATGGCACCGTTATTGAAAATCCAACAGCGACAGATGTTTGGTTCTACCTCATCGATCCGAAAACCGAACAAATACTAACACGCAACGACACGGCTGTACACGAAACGTTGCTGGAGCCAACAGCTCGTGCCGAACTCAATTTTGCAGCATCTGGTGTGGCGCACGCGACCGCCGAGGGCATATATGCACCCATCGAGATGAGACAACAAGTTCACAAGGTAGGTAGCGATTGAGGCACCATTTGTGTGTTTAGTATTTTTACTAAAAAAAACCCTTTCTGACCTCACAGGTAAAGGCAGCTATAGCTACCAATGACGACGTCTTCCCCTACACGCTGATCGCGATCTCGATCATCATACTCATACTTGGCACGATCGGTATTATCTACATTTGCATTTCCTGGTCGAAGTGAGTGTGCCGGACGCACCGCTTTTTTTGAATTAACTATTGTCTTAACTTATCTTTATCCACGCAACAGGTACAAGAACTTCAAGCAACGCATGCGCCAATATTCAGCGCCCAGTCCAACGCGCTATGACCCAGTCATTGTTAATTCGCAAGCAACCAATTCCGGCGATACAGTCGCCAACATGAAGGAATACGAAACGCAAGTGCTAGCCATGGCTGTACCACCGGATGGAGATGATGATCTGCAGCTGGACTTTAGCGCCAAGAATCACGCTTTCTCGCTGGATAACGTCAGCTACATTACGCACAAAGAGAACGGCACGAGCGCCGGTCAGGCGAGTCCTTCGCACTCGGATGCAACAACCGCCACGATCACCACTTTGCGTCGCAACAATAACAACAACAATCTTAACAATATGGCACACAATAACAGCAACAATAATAACAACAACCTGAATGGCATAAATAATCGTCAGAATACATTCAATCGTACACTCGAAATGAATGCGCGCAACAATGCAAATCCTTTGGCGGCGGCCGCAAATGGCACGTTGCCCGGCACCTTAACGTTGGGGCGACTCAAACATCAAAATGGCGCCAATCACTATCAGAATGGTGGCTATAAGTTGGATGCTGTGAGTCGTAATAACTTAGCGAATTTACAAAACAACAGCTACAGTACCATGGGGCGGCGGGGGAATACATTTGGCGGGCCAAATGGGCTGAACGCTTTGAATAGCAATGGCAGCAGTGCTGATAGCAGCGGAAATGCTGGCGAGCTGATGACCAATACGCTGGGGCGCAATAATCATCAGCATCATCATCACAATAGTCGCGCCTATGCGGATGTGCCGATAACAAATCCACTTTTTCAGCGGTGAGTGGCGATGGAATGAATATTTATTTGCATATTTTTACCCAACTTACATAAAAATACTTACTGCTTTTACTGACATTTCAGCTCGAATGGTGACCTGAGCCACATAAGCGCCACGAATGAAAATGTCACATTCGGCAAGCGCGACTATGGTCAGCTGGGCTTCTCTTATTTGAATGATTTGGACCGCTCAGAGGTGGAGACCACAACAGAGCTGTAATCGAGCAATATAACGAATGTGTTTACAGAGCGGAAAAAAACCAACGAAAATATACGAACAAGCGCGGATGGCACGCGGAGGTGTGAGAAGAATAACTAAATTTCTTAGAGGCGATATTTCTGAATATGTTAGGACTGAACGAATATTTCACTTACCGCTAATATTGGCGTGCAAATTAATATTTCGCTTTTTATGCATCTTCTTCGCCCTGTAATAACTACCTATTCGCCTTGCGAGACCGAAAAGTGACAACAACAACATTAACACACATAATGCCAAACTGATATATTTTAAATAAATCAACTAAGCACTAATAAATGTTCAAGTAATATACATACGTAGTTTAATATAAAGTATGCAATTTGTTACAACTTAGCTGCCGTAGGTTATGGCTTGAAGAAGTTTATCAAAAAGCAGAGAACATTTGCTTTTTATGTGAGTTTATATGTATGTGTGTATGTATGTTTAACAAATTGTTGCCATCAAACAATGCACATATGTAATTGATTAGGCTAAGTTTTCGTACTATAATCACATTAGTATGTATGTGTGTATGTAATAATTTAGCAGCGTAGTGTTGTAAATACAACTTCAATGATATGTATAATATTTAGTAAGTAGGTATATATATGTATGATATTTTTTGTAAATGGTTATACTTTAGCCCTTATAGAATGCAGCTCTTAAATGTATATTTTTTTTCTTTCAAAGTACGTTGTTGTAGATAAAACAAAAAAATTATACAAAGTCATTAGTTGTTAGTATCAGAAAAAAACACCAATTACTAGAAAATAAATAAGAAGTGAAAGCGACATTTATTTAAAAAAAAAAAAGCTTACGATTTGTGTCATTTTAGGCTGCTATCAAATTTCCGCAGCAAACTTCATAACCTTTATAAAGAAAAGGTACTTACTTATTTCAAAAAAATAATAAATATCTCTGTTATATGGCAAAATTAATGTCTACATAAAATTGGTACTCTGGCGATTTTATTTTTCGCCTGGTGGTCTAGTGCGAGGCAAGCTAGAGTACATACATTTGTGTGAGGTGTTATTGAAAAAATCTCACGAGCGTTTTTTTTTTTTGATTGGCACTCTCTTCTCTCGGCAGAAAAAAAAACGCTAAAGCAGTGTTCTTTCCTTTTTTCAATCAATGGTGTTCCAGAAATAAGTACAATAAAAAAATAAATCAAGTATTTGAATATTTTTGGCCTTAAAACGTTTATTTAGGTGAAAAAGTACCGAAATTACACTTTTTTTATTGTCCCTCGAAAAACTCATAATTGTCTTTGTTTTAATAACTGTGGGAAGTTTTCAAATAGAATGTTCATATTAGAGGCAGTAAAAGTTGGCATCAAACAAAACATATCTGTAAAGTGTCAAGAGTGTGCCACCAAATTAAAACAAATGGCAGCGTGCAAAATATCTATCGCAGTTATTTTGTGTTTTTTGAAATTTATCGATTTTTTTTCATTTTAAAAGTGTAAGATACTTCAAAATGTCCACACTAAGCAACGAAAATATTCGCCTTGCCAAACCGAAACAATCTAGAGTAATAAAACTAGTGTGGCACCAAATAAAAAAATTCTTGTTATACAATTTTTACACTCTAAATTCACTCTAAAATTGTTATGTACATGAAGAAGTTAATGCATATATTCGCGAATAATACTGTAAAAAAAAATATTCCACGCCACTATTTAATTACTTTTAAATAATATGACTTTGAAGTTATGGCGTGCGAGTAAACGTGTTAATTGACTGTTTAGGGTACTACGGAGCGTATACGTTACATACACAACCACGGATATATGAGCAGGAGTTGTTATTTGGACTTTTTAATATATCTTTTTGAAGTTTTCACTTTAATACTATTTCGCGAGGGAGTCTTGTTCTTTATGCAAACCTGAAGATAATGCATTGTCCAAGATATGTGTGCCACGTGTCAAGAAATGTAACAACCTGTGAAATTTTCTGAGAGCTTTTAAAATATTGCAAAAAAGGTGCTGAGACCATCAAACTTTTCTTTTTTTATAAGTAACTATATTTCTAAAAGTAACTTAACTTTTGTTAGTGTTTTTTGTGGTCTTTAGTTGTATTTTGGAGTTTTTGCTATTTTTGAGTTTTTGCAAAATTAGTTGTTTTTTCGTTACCTCTTAGGATTTATCGGAATTTTCACAACGGCATGTACAGTTTTCATTTGCATATTTTACCAAAAAAAAAGGTAAACCTGATTTTAAAATTGTATAAAGATTGAAAAAAAAATCAACAAAGCGGTGCGCTATCCTAATGCCCAGCAGTGAAGAAGTTAACAATATTTTTAGAAAAATTTCGGATATGCAGTTTTGCAACCTATGCAATTTTAGTTTAATTTGTATAAATTTGAGAATCGGATTTACATGCTATATAAAAAAATTATGAAAATCTAAATACTAAGGTTTAAAAAGGTGCGCTATTCAAATGACGAGGAGTGTTTGTATGTATAGATTTAGATATGTGCATGTAGATATTTGGAAAATCGTGATGAATTCTTCAGCAACAAAAAAAAAAATATCTTAAACTAATAAACCCTAAATATGTAAGTACTAAATACTTAATTTGTTTCGTATGTAAATAAAAATATTCACATGTAAATCAAAAATTCTAGGTAGCATAAATTTACTATATGAGAGTATGTATAGTATGTATGTATGTATGTACAAGAACGTTAAAGTTTATCGAACAAGTGTTTGTGTAAATATGTAAGAATGATTAAAGGACAAATTTAATTGGAATTTGTTAGTTAAATAAATATCAATTTAATAATTATAACATAAGTATGGATTTTACTTTAATCAAGGGAAATTCGGAAAACGTTTGACCTTACAACAAGCGAGTTAGGGCAGGCAACTATTAATTCGCCTTGCTTGTAACCTACAAACCACAGGGTGATCAATGAATTTTACTTTCAGCGCCTAAATGTAGGCTCAAACACGAATTTGTAGCTCGTATCAACATTGAAATTAAGCGGGTAAACAAGTTTTCTGAATGTTTTGCTACCACGAGAGCTTCTTGTCCATGATTAGGCCTTACATCACATTTTAATACGATTTAAAGTCATAGCTTTAGGAATAGTCGATCACCCGAGGATCTCTCTAGTACCTCTAGAAGGTCGTTTACCAACACCAAAGAACATAAAGGTATGACTTTTAAGAAATTAGAAGTGTAAGTTACTGTCGAAATTCGACCGGCTTTCTAGTGTTTTTTTTTTAACAATTTTCTTGCATTACAGTTTTATGGCTGATAATTTCTCTATAAACCATGTTTTTTTGTTTTTTTTTTTAACTCGTTGATAGTCAGACAAGTTAGCGCAAGCCTGGAATGTTTTCCAACCAATTTTGAAACCACACATAATCTTTGGGAAGATGCAGACTCAAAAAAAAAAGAAAAACAATATGTGAAACATAGAAATCTCCTTAAAAACAAAACAGTAACAACAAAATAATAAAATAAAAAGTGGTGCCAGGGCCACACTACTAAACTGAAACTTCCCTGGTTTAATTTCTAGTCCCCTTCATATCGCAAAATTTTTTTTTTGGTTTAAAATTAATCCTATCCCAAGTCTTAGTCGTCGTAGTCTTCAATTTCGTAAATGTATTTGGATTTGGCTTCATTTTCGTTTTCTTATTCGTACTCTTAATCGCCTTCAAATAAAAACACTAAATTCACTCGATTAAATACTTACCTTACCAACTAATCAGAAAAGTGCACAACAGTAACCAGAAAAAAAATCAAAATAGAAATACATATGTACGTAGAAGAAGGAAATGGGGAAAACAATATACCCTTAGCAAATCAATTGCGACTCGAAATAAAGAATCTACAGCATAAGTTGCTTATTCACGACAATTCACGATACCTCCACAAATTTCAGAAACTCTATACATTTAGATAACTCGATATATTCCAGTTAATCGATAAGGTGCTATAATTCGATACATATCAATAACTCGCTGAATTTCAAAAGCAACATATTCGAATAACTCTTTAAAACTCGATAACGACAAATTCCGATAATTGTTGAAAAAATCCGATAGCTTTGTCTTGATAAATTTTGATAACTCAAAAGTTTCATATCTACAATAATACATAAATATTTATAACTCGATAAGTTTACGCCGACCCCGAACGGTGATTGTATTTTTATAGGAAGCTCTTTTTCATGGCAGAAATACACTCGGAGGTTTGCCATTGCCTGCCGAAGGGTGACCGTTGTTGAGAAAAAACCTTTTTTCTAAATTTTTTTTTGCGATGTTGCTTTGACCTGGGCTTGAAGCCGGGCGCTGCGGAGTGGAAGCGCGCACTGCTTATAACTACACCACAGCGGAAACGCCGCCGAAAAGCAACAATAATTTGAAAAAATTGTAGAAGTGATAGCTATTTCGCAAATCACCACATTTCCTCATTAGACCCCTCTCAGTGCCAGTCGATCCAACGACCCCAGCTGACTGAAGTCTGGTTGAGGAAATGTGGTGATTTGCGAGGTTTTGGAGTTTGTAACAAAGTAATGGAAATGACAAACTTTAATTCAAAATATTTGCATCTCTGTAAGACCTTTTTACATATGTAGATACTCAATTGCTTTATTAAGTATTAAAGTAATTTACATTTACGCTTAAATTAATAGGAAGTCTACAAAATGATTTCACACAAGTATTCTACGCAGGCTCAATTGTTTCTTTCACAACTTCGTAATTGATAATTGAAAATAAAATTTTTAAAATTCTAAATCTTATTAACGGTTGATAACAAATTGTACATACACAGATTTTTCAACTACAATAATTTAAAACTACTTACAATTATTAAGAAAACAAAAATCAGCTGTGAAAATGAGCGAAAGACGATATTGAAGTATTTATTGGCATAACAGTTGCGCATTTATTCGCGCTTTTGCGCGCTACGGACTGTATAATTCTACTACCATCGAGCACTTTTGGTTTCCGCTATCAATTTACAATTGATCAGTTACATAACAAACTTATAGCTTAGAAACTAGAATCAAACTGGAAGTACAAATGTGTCCACAAATACATTCACAGTTTGCCGCCACTGAGCCACATTTGTATTTGAGAAGAGCTGCGCCCCTTTGTCTCCAACACCATGAATGCCACATACAAGGTCGCTACAAGCATACAAAAAGCAAAAAACCAGAAAGTCATATCCGAACCCCAGGCGGTGACCATCGAGCCAAAGCACTTGGTCACCATGAAAACTGAGAACCAATTCGCCATAACAGTCAGCGCTACAGCGGTCGCCTTTACATCGGGCAGGAAGAGTTCGCCCATCATAAGCCAGGGAATAGGGCCATAACCCACTGAGAACACGATCATGAATATCACAACGCAAAGTAGTGGCATCCAACCAATTCCGGACACATCTTTGCCACCGTCTTTCATTTGGAAGTAAATACCCAAAATGACCAAACACACAGTCATCAGGCTACTGCTAAAGAGCAAAAGCACTTTACGGCCAGCGCGTTCAATTAAAAAGGAAGAGGCTAGCGTCATAACAACCAATACGAAAGCGACAATAATTGAGCAAATTGATGGATCCAAAGTGCTGCCCGCCGACTGAAAGATGGGCACCGTATAGAAGATGACTGCATTGATGCCAGAGAACTGCTGGAAAAACATAAGCAACATAGAGATGATGAGACCTTGGAAAGCAGCGCGATTGCGGAACAGATCGATGAAAGAGGCATCCGAGCCGGCTTGATCCAGATCTGCTTGAATCATTTGTATTGCCGAGCGTGAGTCACAATAGCGACCCCAAAGCCATTTCAGCGACAGAGCAGCATCACCGCGACGACCCTAAGGGTTAAGAGAATTAAATAAATAAAAATAATACATATGAATACGTGGACAATTTTTCTCGAAACTCACCTTCTTCAACAAATAGGTAGGCGTCTCTGGTAATATTAACATGCCAATGAATAGCGCGATCGGCACCATTAGGCACAAGACACTCAGCGTAGTCCAAGACACCACTGCACCAATAAGGTAAACCAGCAATATGCCAAAGGTTAACAGCAGTTGAAACAGTGTGCCCAGAGTGCCACGTATGCTTGTCTCCGCGATCTCCGATATGTACATGGGTGTAACTACACAAAAGCTTCCGGTTGAAATGCCTATTAGTGAATTGCGAATTAAGTACTTAGTAGAACACTTTTTGGTATGCTTTGTCTTGAATTTTTCTTACCAATTACGAAACGCCCAAAATACAACATTCCAGGCGATTTGGCAAAGATAATCGCCAGCCATGCCACAATGAAAGGTACATCCATAATAAGTGCGGTGTAACGTCTGCCAATTGCATCAGCTATATAACCAGTGGGTAAGGCACCGAAGAAAGCACCAATAGCAACTAGAGAACTAACCCATGTTTCTGTAATTGGAAGATTAAAGAAAAGAAACGTCAAAATGTTTTTGTGTTAAAGTGAATTGGTAAGCGAGATATTTTCCAAAGAAAAAATTATACCGTAGATAATGACAAATAGTTAGTGCAACCTTTGCTTTTTTGCGTGATCGTGAAACTAACTTTAAGGCATTTATAATTTACAAGGAGTGTCGAAATTCGGCCGAATTCCTATTTCTTTTTTTTCACGGTCCCGAAGATTTCTTCGAAATGTACCCTATTTAACCTCACTTTTTCGGCAGGTCTATTCCGGTCACGCATTTGAAATTAGTAGAAAAGGTACCAATGAAATAAATAATAAAACTTATAATAAAGTAATGGCCGTAAAATAAGGCAATTACCTATAAGAGTGTAAATGATTTTTTGACTAGATTAAAACATATAAATATCGATAATATAAGCGAAATCTTAATTCACACATGCTGCGACTCTGTCTTTTGGGCGAACTTCTCCAAAAATAGAGCGGCCTGCAATTTTACGGCGCTTCCGAACGCTAAATGGTTTTACGAAAGCTTTTTCATGACAGAAATACACTCGGAGCTTTGCCATTGCCTAACAACGGATACCGCTGTTTGATCTAACCTACTTCCTGCCGAGTGGTAGTGGAATGGAACAGAAATGTAGCTAGCCGCAAAAACAAAAACAAAAAATCAATTTCCACAAGCACTCAGGAAATATTGCCCATTGTACTTAAGGCCTACCAGGAGGATCAAAGTGATAAGGAAAAACAGGTGTGGTGGAAATTTATTGCTTCCCTGCATACCTTCAAGACTCTTTTTGAGCCTTATCAGTTAGTCGAGAGAATTAGAAAGTAGCTCATCCATTTTGAGTACATCTGAACCAAAAATTTACCATTTAAGTTTGGCGAAAGCCGTACAGGGGCAGAGTAAATATTCTGTTTTAAAGCGCAGTTAGTCAACGACGTAACGTAGACGTAGGTTGACGCAGACACGATCTACCTTATGGGATTCGCGTGTTAACGAAAACTCACCACCGCATGGCTGTGACGTTGCCGTTGCTTCTCTCTCTCTCTATCAACAGTAAATGGTATATGCTGCTACGTACGTCAACCTACGTTTACGCTACGTCGTTGACTAACTGCGCTTTTAGGCTCAACGTCCCAACATGGATTTAGACCTGTAATCAACTAAGCTCGTAGCTCACTCCTTGTCAGGGCTTTTCAGGTAACACTTAGTTGTTCTGCAATACTCCACCAACGACTCTAGTAGGCTTTAGTAATGAAATCCTTGATGTACCCGACGCTGCACAGAACTGCAGCTGACCAAATTTATCCCGGCACCCACACAAACTTAAGCTAATTATATGTATTTAAAACAGTGAAGTATATGTACAGATGCCATCAAGCTCACATACCATTTTTAGTCTTGAAGCCGTCGGTATTTAAAGTTTTTATCGAGCACCACAAGAGTGTGAAATTGCTTTGTTGCAGGAAAGCTAGCAAAGTACTTTCCTCTAGGTATCAATTTCTCATTAGGGTAGGGCTGCCAGACGTCCTGATTTTCGAGGATTTATCCTGATTTAGACAAATTGTCCTGGTGTCCTGGTCCACACTTAAGTTGTACTGGTCTTTTTAATGAAGGTCAATGTAGACACTCCTCTAATTTTTAGCAGATTTTTGCTATGATAAAAGCTTCCTGTCATTAGTAGTCGAAAATTGAAACCAATAGTTTTCTCTAACATGTTGAATTTTTGGTGAGTTTATCTTCTTTCAATTTAGTTTATTTGGTTAGAATCTTAATTTTCTTCAGCTACACGGCTGAGGGGTCATACAGAATTACTACGCAGTGGATAATTTCAGGAGCTAAAATCTCATCTAAAAGGCCTTTCTGAAAGTTATTCCTAGGATATGTAGAAATTTGCTAATGGTGGTAAGGCAAACTTTCAAGGTCATTTTAAAGGCGCCGCTTTTCTCAACTTACGACAACAGTAAATAAAAATGGTGGCATAACATTGTGAACAACATTCTATTTGCCCTAGCTTGGACCAGACATCGAACCTAAGGTCCTACCCAGTAGGAATATTATGCGCTAACTACTCGCCTATACATATTTAGTGTAAAGAAAAATTCGATTCACCACCGCAGAGAAAAGCTATAGCACCAACATTTATAAATAGATCTATCTAAGTATGTAAGTGAAATTTTGCATAAAACAAAAGCGAGTATCATCGTTACAGGGTATTCAATTTCTAATTTACTTAATGTAATCTATTTATGTATAAAGTTCATAGTGATATTTACTTTTGCTTGCGTCTTGGCTATAAATCACTTGAATTCAAAAACGTGCATGTGCTTACTATTTACGCCAGCAGGGTGGCAAGGGGTCTACACTCATGTAAATATAAGGAATACATTGCTTCCGTCCAAAGTGAGGAAAGACGGCAATTAAAGTGAGTAGAATTTTACCGCGCTTTCGATTGCATTTTATTGTCAATAGCGCCATCGCTTATACACCTACATGCATACATACATACATACGGGCGGCGATAAAAGCGAGCGCCGACAAGTGAAGCGATATGAATGGTATTTATACATTTATGCTGTAAGTACTATGCCAATACATAGTATGAAGCAGTTGACTTTAAAAGGCAAGCTAAATTTATCGAAAGTAAGTAAGTACTTTTTGGAGAAAACTTTTACATTTTTAAATGCGTGCTTATAGTTAGTTGTACTATTTATTTACTTACGTTGCTCGACCGTTAATTGCAACCCTGAAGGGTCAACGGGCGGCGGCGCCAATGTTGTCGCTGATATCGTCTCATTGGAAATTGTCGAATTTGTAATGGTCGAATTTGTAATGGTCGAGTTTGTAATAGTCGCATTTGTTACAGGAGGAGCGCTAATTTGTGGCAACACTGGCGAGGTCCATGCTAATGCTGTGCCAGCAGCTACAGCACCGAGACAAACTATAAATATGCAAAAATAAATTAAACGTTGTCTAATGCAAAAGCATTGCAAGATATTTTCTTTATACTTACCAACCAGTGCGGCAACGTACTGCATCCTTTTGGAAGTCCTAACCACACCGTCCTGCAGTGGGTCATAGAGCATCGGATTTCGGGCGCTGGGGTCATTGTCCTCTTGACTGACAGTCTGTTGGAGACATAAGTAAAGATATGTATATATGTAAATAATGTGGATAGTCTAATAAAAAGCAAATGCATTTAAAACTTTTACTTCAAATTTTTATTTCCCAATGCACTGGCGGTCACGCACAACTTACAACCAAATTAGGTAAAATCATTTTTTTTTTAAATATAGTTCATAATATCACAAAAACTCTTTACATATCTGTGGTCATAAGCAATAACCACCTAAGTCGACTTAAGAAATAGAGTAGAGTTATATATGCTAAATATCGTATTCTGCAACTACTATTCCATGTGTATGTGAAATCCCCAACTCGCCATAAGGTTAACATTACAGTCCAAATCTTTAAAGCGTTTTTTCTCGAATTCAGGTTTTCCCACTTAGACGGTTATTGCTTATGGTCACAGATATAAATAGTAAACTTAAACTTTGAACAAATTTTTTTCAAATTCAGCAAATTTTCATAAAACTTTCAAATATGCAAGTTTCAAATAGCCTAAAATTTTAATTGATTTTTTTTCGCTGATGATCTTGCGCAATTTTTCCCATACTCCAAATTGTTCTTAAAACTACAATTAAGAAGTTTGAAATTTTTAGGAACATCTTTTATAATTCTTTTAATATTTTCTGATTCATTTTTCTATCTCATTTTTTTTTAAAGCGTGACCGCAAAGTGTATATATTGTTTGCCTATTTTTTGTTGCTCTATTTATTTTAAAAATTAAATTCCATTTCTCCTTTTCCCACAGCTATCCAACTTTTCATTTGTATTTTTCATTCTTATCGTTATCGATAAATATATAGACGTTGATATCGACTTAGCCTTGCTGCTGAAAAAAATTTTTCTTGATCACTGGTTCTCAAACTTTTTCCCGCGTACAACCTAAATAAGTATGTGCATATGTACTCGTAGGTATGAATAAGTTGGGATAAGTCGAGTATTTCTAGCATTTATTATTTAACCAAGTTTGCAAAAACAAAAGTTTGATAAGCGTTTTGTTGTAGGCGCTCGGCAGACACCCTGGGTACTAACTAAATGACAGTATTTTTTCGAAGGTTCGTAAAGTTTTGGGTAAACAGTTTTCATTTCTTTCCAAGCGTCGACGATATTCCGCTTTAGTTCTGGGACTTGGCAATTTAAATAAAAACTTATTTCATCTTGTGGGTAAAGCAAATCGTCCTCTTTTCCCCTTCGTTTGTGTACAAGAGATTTATGAGTGGCCCAAAGATCGAACACAATTGCTAATGATTCTAGTGACTAGAACATCATTAGTGAGGCCAATGCAAAAAATGAGTTCAGATACGGAAACTTTTGTTGCTCGACTTCTCTTTTGGTGTTGCAGGTCGCATTCACACAGAGCAACTCTTTTGTACAACTTAAATTACTAAGAGGAACGAGAGCACAAAGCGTATTGCCCGAGCACGATCAACTCGGTGTCCTTCCCCGTTCCTCGTCGCTCCCTCTGCTTCAAGTAACGAGTTGCCGCAACAAAATTTTATGTGTCTGAGCTCATTCTAACGGAACTTCTAAATGAATTTTTGTGAACCGCGGTTCGAGTAAAGTTGATACAGCTAGCAAAAAAGAATGGTCGATGGATAGATTTTAGACAACTACAGTATTAAACTATTAATGAAACACAAAACTACGATGCAATTTAATCGTAAATTGGATAAAAATAATCGATTAATTTAATCAAATGATTAATCGCTGCCAACCTTAACGGTACCCGCTGGTGGTGGCAGAGGAACAGGAAGGCCTCCTCTGCGTTGGAAAGATCGGATGTGGATGGATCTGGCTTCACTTTAAATTTCAAATTGGCGTTAGTTGACACAAAAGAGCAACGACTGGTGCGCCATCTTGATCACGCTCAAAATCAAATAAGAGCCAACATTCAGAACGTCATAAAACAGAGGCGGTATGAGGTTTTAGATAAGCTCTTTAGTTTAAGAGTAACCCTGCTTTGAGATGACCTACGCCTGCGGGAAGTATGCTTTTAAAATTTTTCATACAATCTTTAGCGAAATTAAGAATAAAATCGAAGGTTGTTGCTTTTAAAATGATGTATTTTTCTAAGTAAAATACATTTACATAATTATGTATTCGGTTTTTTTTTTCATAAAATTTCTATTACAATAAAATTAAGGCAAGCAAACCATGATAAGCGCATCTCACAGACGTAAGAATATCTTTTCAGCAAATTTCGGTAAGTTTATCAAAGCAGGGTTGAATAATAATAGCGATACCCATTCTATATTGTAGTTATTGCGATGGTGTGAGCAATTAGAGAGTTAATGAAATACAACCGATCTTTTATGTCCCAGCACCCACTTTCTGCTTGTAATAATTATCTGTGTAGATATGTATGTATGTATGTATGTATCTACTCATATATTTGAGCTGTGTAGAATTGAATTAATTAAACAAATGCGTGACCAAATATTCAACTGTACACAAAAACTGGGTACAAAGACCAAAGTAAATTGTCGAAATAGAGTGGAAAATACCCACGAGAATTTGCACTTACGCAATTGAAGAAATTTCGGCACCGCCATCGACACTTAAAAAAATTTACAGAAAATAAACAATCAGCTCCGTTAACGCTCAATTACTCTTTCTCTTTTTGTTTTTGTTTACTTTTTTTTGCAAATTGATTTGCTTTCCTTATCAATCGTTTGACATTGCGGAATTCGCAAGTTCAAGTTGACTGACGCTTCACAAAGCTAATGCTGCGAAGAAGTTTTTTATAAGCAATTTCTACTTTTTTATTTTCACTTGCATTTTTTATTGCATTTTAATTTGCATATTTTATTTCCTTTCCTGCTGTATTTGAGGCAAATAAGGTATTTGCATCACTAGCTGCTGACTGCGTCCCGCCTATGTACATACATATGTATGTATATACTCGGACATATGTATGTATGTATGTATGTAATAATGTATACAGTCCACAAACCTGCCCGCCCCTTTCTTATAGTAATGATGCCGTTGTGTACGGTCAGCTAAATTTAAATTCACTCGCTGCGTTCCTCACGTGCCTTTAAATTAGCGTAAGAGTCGCAGAGGCGCCTCGAAAGTAGCAGCGGCAACATCCATCTACTACTTACAACAAACAACAATAGTTTCGTGTTGCAATCAGCGGCAGCGTCAAAGTGATGTTGACGGTCAAAGTGATACATTTTAATGTATATACATACATACATTCATACATACAGACAGACATGCCTAAATATATACGAGTATGAATTTAGACTGTAAGGTTTGAGTGTGGCTGTGTATCTCTGCTTCATGCTTATTTTTAAAGCTCTGTGGGCGTGGTGACTGCCAGATAGGTATACTATACTGGCAACGGTCCTAGCGAGGAATGCCAAAAATAATTTAGATACATAAAATCTTAATTACCAACAAATAATTTGGAGCAAAAAACAGAGAATATTTATATGTATCCTCATAGGTATGTACATATATTAGGGCGGGTCAATTAGTGTGGGAAATTTTTTCGAATATGCGCGTATAGCACAGATAGATTCTACGTGTAATTCTTAGCAAATACTCCGAAGAAACCATGGCTCTTAAATAAATTTTTTGGTATGAGGAATCCATTTCTGCACTTATCTTTTGCTTAAAATTTCCACCAGAGGGCGCAACGTTGAAAATGTCCCAAATTGACTTTAGACCCATTGCTTAGAATAACACGTAGAATTCTCCTGTGCTATACGCGCGTAGTCCAAAAAATAAAATTGGTCCGCCCTAATGTATATATAGGTATACGTGTGCTTGCCTATTCTATTTGTAGTTTGCAAAAATTTAATAGAAAATATTTTGGCACGCCGCCATCTACGCAAAATATTTTTTTAAATAATAGCATAATGTGCTTGAAGTGCAACGCGCATCCGTCGCCAGTACGTTGCTTTAATTAAATTTACATTCAGTAGAATTTATGTAAACAATAGGGTGAGGGATCTCGTTTTTAAACTGTTTAACATGTATGTACATTGGAATGCCTCACCAAAAAAAGTCGCATGTTTTATAGCGCAATTATACAATTTATTATATTTGAAAACCTCCTCCAAAATATATCTGACAAATATTAAGATCTACGATATCTGGGCTGATTTGAAAGACTTTCAAAAATCGAGTTTTTTATAAATAAAATTAGTTTTTAAAAGTTTTAGTAGTAGTAGTAGTTTTTTTTCAAACAATCACCTCATTTGATAGAATGGTTTAAACTTCAAAGGTCTGCATAAACCGAAACAAATAAACAACGAGATTCAAATAGATCCAGCTCATTTATATAGATCTTAATATTTTTCCGAAATATTAGGGCGCGAAAGTCATAAAGCGTGATAAATCCTATATTTCCGATGGAAAAACTGTATCGATTATTTTTGTTTGGAGAGTGATGCCCCCTAATCTGAGTACGTATGTATTTATTTGAAGAATTAAATAACTAATTCATAAATTGTTGTTGTGTATACTTTATTTTCTCATAACATATTTAAGTGCTGTCTGCACTTCTGAAGGAAAATCGCAAAAAAAAATATGTTTCCTTATTTCTTTGCTAGAAAATGTACTTTGCTGCTACTGTAAATTTTCTTGAAGAAATAAATATATACATATTTATATGAGCACACTGCATACTGATTTAAAAAATTTCATTAAAAGAAAATTTCTTTTCCATTACTTGTGCGTGATTTTATATGATTTTTTGGTTTTTCTTGAGAGCTGCAGACTGCCCTTTAATGATTACCTTAATTTGATCAAAACCATATGTGTACGTATATACGTATGTATGTATGCATATACAAAAAATAGATTTCATTAAATTTTTAATGGATGCCTTTAGTTAATACTTTATGGCTATGATTTTTCTTTCTGGTGCATTTTTATAGTTCAAGCGATGTTTCTGATATCATTCTGAATTCTTTTCAATGAGTGTATAAACCAAACTCGGATAAAGCATTAAATTTAAAAATTATGCGGGAAGCCTGTTGCCACAGCACCGTTTCTCCAAATAGCGTTTTTACCTTAGGGTACAAAAAAATTTCAAATTTTGGACTACCCTAGTAAGAGTGTTTCTTACCTTTGGCCACCACTTAAATTTATCTTGTCGCGAAATGCTCGCACAGGTGCCGAACTACTCATCATCACAATGTTATTCAAAATAAGTATATTTTTTTGCGGAATTGCACACGTGGGTGGACAGACATGCAATCAAGGCGTATTCATATTTACGAATCGGCAAATATAGTCGCCGAATTATATGAATTTTTCAATTGTAATGTTTTTATGTGTGAGTCGAAATTTATTTAGGTTAGGTTTGAAAATATGTCTCTCGTAGATGATATTGCATTTTTTACGATCGGTTGCCCAAAAAAATAAAAAGCGAAATATAACGATTATTCTTAATCAAAAAAAAATAAAAAAATAAAAATAAAAATTTACGATTTTGTAGTAACGTAAAACCAAAAATCTTGGTATTCAAGTTTTTTTTTTACTTCGCTTTGGGTTGTAACTGGATGGGCGGGCGCGAGATGTCGGGATCCGCGGAACCCATGGTACTGATTTCAAAATGGCCGGGATGGGCGATATCGGGAAGGTCCGTAAAAATTTTGCGGGCGGGACGGGATCAAAATCCTTTCCCGTCACTCCCGATAAAATCGCAACCTTCGCAAGTTCACAAAACCTTCTTTAAAAATGGTGTATGAAATGTGCACGAACAGCAAAGCATAACAAAATAATCGGAATATGCTACATTTTTCACAATTTTTTTTTCATTATTTAAAATTTATTTGAATTACGTACATGTGAATTTTTCTTAGTGATAGATTTCGCTACAATTCTGATTATTTTTAATAACTTGGGGGAAATGCTAAGCTACAAAAACGGTGCATTAATTCATGCTACTTCCAGACATTTTTACAAAAAATGTTTGACATAATAAAAAGGTTGAAATTAGTCAACATCTTGCCAGAGGTGTAATTTTTAGGTGCCTTTGAAAAGTAAATACTAAAAGCATTTTAAAGCACGTAAGAAAAATATAATTCAAGAAAAAATTTCCAAACTGTGTATATTTCATTTTGAATCAAAGAAACGGGGCAAAGTCGTATGACTTTTAAGAAAGGTTTTTGAAAATAAAAATGCATTCAACTTTTGCTTTCAACTCACGCAGGGTTGCACGAAAAAAAGTTGAATGCCTAAATGTTGCCGGGCGACCAACTTTGTTGAAAGCGATTAGTTGAAAGGCCGTTCAACCAAAAGTATAATGCAAAGTTGAACAATGCATACGCCTTTTTATGGCGAATATTTTAATAACTTTTTTATTTTGATATTTTTAGCCATTCAATTTTGTTTTCGAAGTTGAACGCAAAAGTTGCCTGAAAAATCGCCTTGCGCGAAAGCACTATAAGCCTATTTTTAAAAAGTCGGTGTCACTCCACCTTGTCGGAAACAGCAACAACCAAAATGACAACTTAAAGCTTAAGCCGACTTTTGAAGATTCCACGTTTGCTGGAAGAACGTCATCTTGAAAAAATCTTCCGGATTAATTTCTAAGATTGTATTTTTTAATTAATATTAATTTTTACTCAATCCGAACATTCTAAATAAAAACTCCAAATCGTTTTTCTGGCGTTTCAAATTTTTTGAGTTATGTCTTTCTTCCAACACTACCCAGTTATATGAAGATACATACATACATATGTACATATATAAGTACACATTTCTAAACAATTTTTACACTTTACCTGCCACCAACGCGCCATGGCGCGTACAACTTTGTCCGAATCCATTGTTATCGCCTAACCGCAATGAAGAAATGTCAATGATGCACTTCTTGTGCGGTTATATAAGCTTTTGGTGATGAATTTTTTTTACTTGAACTAATATAATAAAATTTACACTATTTAAGTAGACTTTTATTATTGTATCTGAATTACAACTACACTATACTAAACAGCCATAATTTTATTCGCACGATAAACTATATATATATTTGTGTGTAAAATTTTTTGGAAATTCTTTATCTAAATTTTCTTTTAAGTATTTTATTTTTTCCAATATTCAAACACTGATTTTCGTAATATTTTTTTTTTTGAGTTTTTCTTCTCTAAATATTCTTAAGGCCTTTGACAATGCCAATTTCGTTTGGTTTATTTTTCGCGAGATTAATGTTTTTGGCTCAACCGATTTGTTCAAATTTCGCCCGACGACTGTCAATTCACTGACCGTCGCTCGATGCTGTCCGCTCGAGAATTGTGATTGCGGAGATGCGCTCTTAAAGCAATGGTATATACAATTATTTTGCTTTTCTGAGTAATTTTCTAAGACATTTGCTTTATTTATATTTTGCATACAATTTAATTTCGTCTTCATGCCGCCGCGTTTCCTCCGATTTTATTTTATTTAAATTCTATTCTTTTGTTTGTTTTCTTGACTTCATTTCCCCTATGAGTTTGTAGATGGGGCCTTAAACGTTTTGATTTGCAGTGATTCCAATCGTTTCTTAATTGTATTTAATTTCGCTTCATTTAATTTGAATAGTATTTTAATTGATTTTATTAACAAATATATAAACAAGTTCATACCTACTTTTACATATATGTATGTATGTAAATATATATGAATATACACTAGGGTGGTGCAAAAGCATAGTCAGATTTTTTATGCTCTCACCGCCTAGGATTGTTCTATACCGAAAAAAATTTACCCCTACTTTTTTATTTTGAAAGCAAAACATATTTAGCGGTCGCTCAAAGCGTCCAAAGTTTTCCATGTATTTTATATGGGGAAAAAACAAGTTTTCGTAGAAAAGGTATAGAATTCTTAAGAATAAATATTTTGCTATCGGAAAACTCCGTTTGGCTGCAGTCTCCTGAAGAGAACCTGAGTTTTGCGGTCGAAAAATATTGATTTTCAAGAATTTTGTACCATTTCTACGAAAAGTTGTTTTCTCCCCATACAAAAATACATGGAAAACTTTGAGCGCTTTGAGCGACATCTAATATTTTTTGATTTCCAAATAAAAAAATAGGGCTATACTTTTTGTTCGATATAGAACAATCCTAGGCGGTGAGAGCATTAAAATTCTGACTTTACTGTTTTTGGACCACCCTAATAGGAGTATGTACAAGTGTGGCTATTCAAAGGAATGTAAAGAAGGTAAAACCTTTTTAGTGGGTGTGGTGTGCATGCGATAATTTTTCTTCATTTATTGATGTGCATGGTTAAAATTGGCAACAAAATTTTGCAATATGTAATGCCCTTTTGTTATATATGTACATACATTGCGCATACATACGTATAAAAATATATGTATGTATTTGGCAACTGCTTAACTTTAAAAGTATCGCAAGTTTGTTCCGAATTTTCCAACGATTTCTTTGCGAGTTTTCACTCATGACGAAATTTCTGTACGATTTCTTAAAGAAACTTCTGGAAAAAAATTCAATTGATCTACCGATTTTCTACCCAAGTCGGTAATGCCACGGTCAAAGAAATCACATATAAATTTTGATTCCGATTGAAATCGGTTAAGGCACAGGAAGACTCAAAAAATTTAAATTTAAACAAAATACAAAAATATATTTAACTGATATTGTACAATTAAATATAATAATTAACTGATAAATATTGGATCTAAATTACGATATGCTTAAGGTACTTGTATCATACAAGTTACATGTATGTACGTATTTCCAAATCATTTTGAAAAAAATATCCTTTATTTTACGTTGGTTAATATGGTCATCGTAACCATATTGCACTTCTGGATTTTAACATTCTTTCATTATTTTACACATTAATATTGTTATTTACCCTAATTCTTTGTCACTCTGTAGCCAATTTCTCCAACGATGAACAGCAATAATAAATTGAATTGCGAATCGATGCGTAATTTGTTTGTTTAAGACGACACTTAAATTATTATAACATGCGAAGCCGACATTAATAACACGCTCGGCCTCAATTGAATGATAGTCAAGTTTTCCAAAAAAATTTGAAAATAGGCCATCATCGGCTTTCTCATTCATATACATAGATTCGTACATTAGCGTGGGCCGAAAACCCGCTTTTTTTAGAATTTTCATTGGTAATAACAAAAATATGGTTCATGACAATTTTTGGCTCGCCCAAGTCCATCAGTCTTCAATGTGCTCAAAAAATAAAAATTAATAAATACAGCAAATTAACAAAATGAAATAGTGGAAAAAAGCAACAAGAATTCACAAGGCGAACTTAGCACAGTGCGTAGGCAACTAGCTGNAAAAATATATTTAACTGATATTGTACAATTAAATATAATAATTAACTGATAAATATTGGATCTAAATTACGATATGCTTAAGGTACTTGTATCATACAAGTTACATGTATGTACGTATTTCCAAATCATTTTGAAAAAAATATCCTTTATTTTACGTTGGTTAATATGGTCATCGTAACCATATTGCACTTCTGGATTTTAACATTCTTTCATTATTTTACACATTAATATTGTTATTTACCCTATTTCTTTGTCACTCTGTAGCCAATTTCTCCAACGATGAACAGCAATAATAAATTGAATTGCGAATCGATGCGTAATTTGTTTGTTTAAGACGACACTTAAATTATTATAACATGCGAAGCCGACATTAATAACACGCTCGGCCTCAATTGAATGATAGTCAAGTTTTCCAAAAAAATTTGAAAATAGGCCATCATCGGCTTTCTCATTCATATACATAGATTCGTACATTAGCGTGGGCCGAAAACCCGCTTTTTTTAGAATTTTCATTGGTAATAACAAAAATATGGTTCATGACAATTTTTGGCTCGCCCAAGTCCATCAGTCTTCAATGTGCTCAAAAAATAAAAATTAATAAATACAGCAAATTAACAAAATGAAATAGTGGAAAAAAGCAACAAGAATTCACAAGGCGAACTTAGCACAGTGCGTAGGCAACTAGCTGATTCGGTGGGATCGTTGGTTTGGATCCTACTGAAAGAAGTCTGACGAGGAAATGTGGTGATTTCCAAAGTAGCCATCACTTCTACCTTTTTTTTCAAATTATTGTTGCTTTTCCACAATAAGTTTTTCATTAAAAACGGCCTCAGGCTCAATAAAAATTTTTGAATATAATTGTTATAAGGCCATAAAACAACAAAAACAAATTAATTAATAAATTTTTTTACTAAAATTACAAGTATTTTCGAAAATATTAGGTCTACATAATTTAGTATATCGTCGTTTAAAGTACAAAACTGCGTAACTGACATTGGCTGCCAAAAATTGGATTTGCTCACACAAGCCCTTGGCTCAATCCTTATCCATTCGTCCTGAAATATACTAGCGAGAAATGCGATTTCTTTATAAAAAAAGAGAACCATTTTGAAATATGAGTGCTTTTACTCTCTAAAAAATAATTTATGCAACCTCATATACGCGGTTTTGCATTTTGTTGATACGCGGTTTTGTACTTTAAACGATGATTTTGGCCTCTTTTGTAGAGAATCGAAATAAGCTAAGAAATTTTTTTTTTGCACTTGAACTGTGATGGACTTGGGCGAGCCTAAGATATTGACCAAAAATTGTAATTTTTCACACAGATGGTTTCTAGGGCATAATGGACCATATTTTTGCTATTACCAATCCAAATTCTAAAAAAGCGGATTTTCGGCCCACGCTAATGTACATATGTGCCATGACAATATTCATGTAAGTATATATGGTATATCACACGGCTTAGTTAAAAAATTTAAATTGAAGTGCTTCAATTGATAGAGAGCTCTGTTGAAAAAATTTCGATTAGGAAATAATTACTCTTCGGGTAAATGAGGCATCACACCCACCTTTCTGAAATTGCAAAGCGCTGCTTATTCAAATAGTCGGAATACTTTTGGTTTACAATTTTCTACACGACTTCTTGTAGTTCCATAAACACACAAATCGCACGCCATTTGCAACAAGCAATGACGTCAAAGTGTTTACATGGCGCATCAACTAAGCTAAGAAAATACAAAATTAATTATAAATGTAAATGTCTGCATATAACTAGATACTTTCGTGCATACATACATACCTATGCTCGTATAACTATGTGCTTAAAATGTATATAAGCTAGCTAGCTGCATAAATGTTCATTTTCTTGGTTTTACGCGCGTGATCCATTTATTTGTATGAATGTATATTTCAAAGATTTGCTGAACTATTGCAAAAAAATATAAAATTCATACAAATACACGTCGATCGATCGACGTAAACAAATTTGCAGAATCTCGCAGTGACGAATTTGCATTTGTATTTTTTTTTTTTTGCACAGCTCTACCTGCATGTACTCTTCAAATTTTCCCGATTTTCTATGTATGTGTGTACTTATATTTAGTATGTATTTTTCTTACGTTATTTGTAGCTTTTATAGATCAACAACAAGACACACACCCACTTTTGTGAAAAAAAATAAAGAGCAAATATTTAGCTAAGTGCCGAGCGGTCATCATTTGATTTATTTTCTAAGATACCGTAGGCGCCTGTCGTTTAAGGCGCCGAGTCAGAGGAAAGAAAGTATTGGAAACCTCAATAATGGGTCACAATCAATTCCATTTATTTGAAAATTAAGTTCCATTATGATTTTGTGCTATTAGTATTCTGGTGAAAAGCCACACTTTCAAGTTTGAGAGCCTTAAACATTCCGAGTACAAAGTAAGCGCAATACTCTACATGTGTGCAGTTTAGTACACCTTCTATTGGGAGGAGCACAACTCGTGAGAACAACAATTTCAAGTGAGGCTGTACTACGTAGAATATGCTTATACAATCTGAGAGTCTATAGGCTCTCTCAATAACAGTTTCTAAAAGAAGATCTTATTATTCCAAAGTTCATTTCATGTTTCAGAAA